GAGTGAGGTCAGTGCAGTGAACCATGATTCCGGTGTCAGGTCAGCTTTGGTGTGTAGGGACGTGGCCGGGGCGTTGCTTGCAACAGGGCTCAGGAGCCGAAACAGCTTCGGCACGCAGTCGCGTTCAGGTTCTCGAGCCCCGCACCTGGGACCGTCGGCAGGGCCGAGGCCTCCCTGCGTTCGGCCACAGAGACGCGCTTGCCTTGCACCCTGGGACATGGAGGCCTCCGGGTGAAGGCCTTAGGCCCGGTCAAAGAAGACACTTGCTGTTTTTGTCATTTTTGCTGTGAGGCACCTTGAGCCTGGGGGATTTGGGGTCTGGGCCGGGAGGAATCGGGAGGAATCGGGAGGCGGACGTACGCTGTGCACACTTGGTGGTGGGCGGGGCTGGCAGTCACCGTGTCCTGTGCTTTCCCCACAGACCCAAGAAGCTGCGCTTCCACCCGAAGCAGCTGTACTTCTCCGCCAGGCAAGGGGAGCTGCAGAAAGTGCTTCTCATGCTGGGTGAGTGCCCGCCCTCCTCCTCCTCCTCTTGGTGCTCTGTCCCCCTCCCTCCCGTCTTTGATCCCACCGTGGTGTCCGTGCTCAGTTACCCGCAGTAACAGGAACATTCTTTCTGAATTCCTCGTTTTCCTAAGGAATGAGATATTTGGTTATTAGATTAAGAAGCGCAGGTACGGCAGGAGCCGCAGTGAGCTGGCCCTGTGCCTCGAAGGCTGCTGAGCGTGGGGTGAGACGCTCTCACTCAGCTTGGAGCCCTCACTAGCCCTTGATCCCACAGTTCACACCCCCGTCCGAGTGGGTTTCTAACGTCCCGAAGCGAACTCGCCACACTCTTCCCTGCTTGGCCACAAGCTTCAGGACAGTGATTTGATTCTGAGCTCACACTTTGGCTTGATTCCTCTGGGTCAAAACGGTGATGAACCCCTCCCTCTACCCGTGTGACAGCAAATCAAGAACGAAGTTTAACAGTTCACTCTAAAAAATGTTTTATTTAGAGGTGACCAAATGGCGATTTAAATCACTTGCCCCTGGACTCGGTGCGGTGGCCTCTCTGCTCTGTGGTGGGTCCCCTGGCTAAGGGTCTGCATCAGGCCGCACTTTTCCCTCTGGCCGCGCCCTCTGCGCCTCCTCCCCCTCCCCCACGGAGCGTCCGTCCTTGAATGTGGCCTGCTGGGCCCCGGGGGTGCAACAATCTGGACCCCAAGAAAACAGCCCCAGAGAGATCACTGGAGCCTAAGTTAGCCGAAAGGGGGAGAGTTCTTGTCGGTGACTTCCGGCAGCTCACATGGAGCTAGTGGGAGGCCCCTCTCCTGCCTGCCTCGTCCGCCCGGCCGGGAGGTATGGGCTGACGGCCTTCAGGCTCCACGGCTGCTGGTTCACGTCGGGTTGCGGGCCTTCACCGTCCTGTGTGGTGGGAATCAGTGGCTGGCTCTGGAATAATCGCTGAAACCTGTTCATCCACAGTTGATGGAATCGACCCCAACTTCAAGATGGAGCACCAGAACAAGCGCTCCCCACTGCACGCCGCGGCAGAGGCCGGCCACGTGGACATCTGCCACATGCTGATCCAGGTCGGACAGCGGTCCCCCGCGGCCCCGCCCCTCGGCCCCACTTAACTTCTGCGCCTGAGTCGTGCTGGGCCCAGCGGCCGGCAGAGACTCGGTGTTTGTGTCCTGGCCCGCGGCCCCTGGCAGGCCACCCCGCACCTTGGGGTCCCCTGGCACCCGCACTGACGTCGCAAACAGCATGCCGCCCCCGCAGCTGTCTCGTCCGTTTGGGTTTGGTTTCGTTTTACTTTTGGTGTTTGAGGTTTCTTGCCGATGCCCTTGTAGAGGGGGAGCATACGCCGCCCTCCCCCCCTCCCCGCTGGAGCGTCTCGACGTCCTGTCCCCTCAGACGAGCACGCGTGTCGCGTGGCCACGCGTCTGCGGCGGTGTGGGGATTGTCGCGTGTCCCTCGGCTGTCGTCTCTGCCCTCCCGCTCATTTGTGCCCCACCCTCTGAGCAGACTGTGACACGTGTCCCGTGTCATCTGGAAAGCACCTGTCACGTGCCCTCAGCGCCGTCGCTCGGGGACATCCCTTCCTGGCCCCAGGTCGGGTCCCCTGCTCCTGGAGCCGCGTTTTCAGCGCAGCCCCTTTCTGGCGCTTCGGGAAATTGCCCCCCTCACCCTTGGCCTGGAGTTCGAGCGGTGGGCCCTGTGCCTCGGCCCCTCCCCTGCAGCCCCTGCTGTGAAGGCTGCGGTCCGCCTGCCCGTCACCCGCCCGCGCGTCCTCCTGCGCCGCGGCGTTTCCGTGTGGCTGCCTCAGCGCTGTCCTGTCCGGCGTCCCTTTCTCGTAGCTCTTACTCCCCTCTCGTCCCTCTGACCGCTCTGCTCACAGTTGTCTTGAAGGTTCAGGTGGCTGGTGGTTTTGGTCTTTTTTACCTAAAGGTTTTCCTGCAGTGCATGGTGGTAGCTGTTTGTTCAAACACAGGTGAAGTCCTGAGTGCTGACGGGAGGGTCTCGGTCGGGGAACGTGCGCGCAGCCTGTTCCGTTGACGGAGCCGCGCTGGCCTGCTCCCCGGTCCGCAGTTTGCAGTCACCGCTGCCGTCTTGTCACCTTCTGCTCAGAATACTTTCCTGGCCTCTCTTCCCACTCACGCGGCTGGGAGCAGCAGCCGTGTACCGAGCGAGTCGCTGCTGTGTCGGCTCTGGAACCCGCTGTGGCCTTTGCGTTGTGCTGTGGATTTCTAGTGCCCCAAAGTGTACGTGTCACGTCCTTCCCAGCTTCGTCGCCGGCTGCAGAGCCCCTGTTTTGGACGTAGCTGTTTAAATAGCACACAGTGGGATTTTCAAATTACCAGTCTCGTGCTCTTGGTATTTAACAGGCACGAGTAGCCTGGTTAATGCTACTGTGATTTCTGATGACAGTTTTTCTGATGCTTTTAGTTTTTTTTTAGTTCTCAGTTTCCTATTGGTGTTCATTTTTGTCCATTTTTTTTATTTGCTTGGAAGTTACATGCTTTTCTTCCTTGTCCCCAGTGGTCGCACAAGCCGTGTTATTACTTATTCGTGACCCTGACAGGGTTATTCAGGAGGGTCTTGGAGGCCGAGGGAGGAAAGATGACTCAGTGAGAAGTCCGAGCTTGAGGCCCACAGGGAAGGTTTCGGGGACAGCAGATGGTGCTCAGATTGGTCGCACAAACGTTGGTTCTCGGTGGTGACGGTGCAGAGTGGCTGGTGCTCTGAGGGCTGGGGATGCCAGCGAGCGGGCCAAGGGTGTGGAGGTGGCCTGTGGTCTCGCCGAGGTGGGCCCGGAGGCCCAATGCTGTGGAGTTGTCGCAGGACCCGGAGCGAGACGGGAGAGGACCTCAAGGGGCGCCCCGAGGGCCGTGTGCTGGAAGGCGTGGGAGCGGGGTCGGGGCGGTGGCGGGCCACGCCTCAAGCTTAGGAATGGTGTCCCTGGGTTTGGGGTTCCGGTCACCGATGCTTGTAGGGAACGTTCTACCGTCTTCTACTTTCTTCTTCCTTTCGAGAGGTTACTTTGTCACTCCTTTGAAAAGACTTGTTTACTTTGTGGTCTCTTTTCTACATTAAAGTGTGTGCGTGTGTGTCACACGTAAAGTCCTTGAAAGGGAAACGTCCTGGTTCATGATTGTGACGGGAACCTGTCTGCCTGCCAGTTCGGGACACACAGCGCTGCACGTTCCCCAGAAACACTGTGTGCTCCCTCCCCCGGAGGCAGTGCCTCGGCAAGCGTCATTGTGACAGTCACGTCGCTGCGCGTCTCGGGCTTTTACCACTGTGGGAGCACCCTCAGACAGAGTGGCTCAGCTTCGTGTGCCTGCAAACATCATGCCAGTCGAGTCATACACCGACTTGCTTTGCGTCTGCCCTCGTCCAGTCAGCACACACCCAGTGGCTGCCAGCTCCAGGGAAGCCACATGTGGCCCGCGGCCCGATGCTGATGTCCCTTTCCTGCTGCTGCTGCCGCCACCCACGGGCTGTGCCGCGTCAGAGGCTGCCATGGCGAAGGCGTGAAGGGGACGCGGGCGCTCCGTGTTCTGTTTTGCATCTTCTCTTGAGTCTTAAACTATTGAAAAATGAAGTGTTAGAAATTTAGAGAAAAGAACAGCCTTTACACAGAGACATCTTTCGTGGCCGTCCACACTGGTGTCTGCCCGTGCCTGGCACTTCTCACGTGGCTTCTCAGCCTGTCATTTAACTTGGTGACCCAGGCTCGAGCTCCCTGAGCATGAGGGCCCATGGCTGTATTCTTGGAGCCAGAGCAGCTTTTCTGGGGTTCCGCAGGAGGAAGGGTGGGCTCGTTTCTAGTCTGCCCTGGGCCCAGGGCCGTCATTTCTTGGAAGCTGGGCTTTTTCCTCACGTGCCCCGAGGCAGCGCCTAGAACGACCCGTCAGTGGTGTCACCTCATCTTCTGTTTTGCTGGGGTGGTGAGTGCTCGGTCCCTGGGCAGCAGCTCCTCTGAAGAGCGTTTGCTGCCCTCTGTCCTGCTGGGCATCCTCTGGCTCCAAGGAGGCCGGCTCTGCTGTCATCTGGGCCCTGCGCCCGGGGTCTGACACTGGACAGGGAGGTGCACCCTGGCAGTGTGGCCGCATTTCCCGTACTCAGGGCCGCACTAAGCTGCCACAGCCCAGCCTGGCCTCCATCCTGTTGGACCCAGGGACAGGCCCGTGTCTGCATCCTGTGCTTCTATCAACTCCGGAATGCCATCCCATCCTGTCCCGTCCCGTCCCGTCCCGTCCCGTGCCGTCCGTGCTGGTGTCCCTGCGGTGGCAGGGTCTCATTGTCCCGCAGTGCCTGCCAGCCCCTGGGCTCTCATTTCGGATAGACGCGCAGCCTGGGGGGCTTGGGGAGACAGAACATACTCACGCTGCTGGCCCGAGGGCCCGCCGTGGGCTGTACGCCTCGCTCCGGTGCCCACGCACGGAGGGTCTGGGGGACGCGTGTGGCCTGGGGCCCACGTCT